TCAGACTAGATACTAGGAAGAAAATTACTGTGAGGGTGGTGAGGCACTGGCATGGGTTTCCCAGCGAAGTTGTGAATGCCCCATCCCTTGAAGTGTTCAAGGCCAGGTTGGATGGCCTTTGAGCAACCTGGTCTGTAGGTGTCTCTGCCCATGGTAGGGAGATTGAGACTAGGTGATCTTTCAGGTCCCTTCCAACCATAACTATTCTGTGATTTCATGAAGAGTAGAAGAGTTCATACAGTTTACCTGGAGATGTAGTTGTGCCTTTCTGAACCAGGAAACATAGTGGCAGCTTTTCCAAGGTATTTCCAGGCTCTTCTGTTTGAAAATGGACTTGTATAATACCGGAGAAATGTGGCTTGGCAGTCACTACAACTGTATCCAAACTGTAAATGAACTGGACAAGACAATGGATGAAAGTCAGTACTTGACCTCTTTCTGTGTATGCATGCTGCTGTATGTAGGACAAACTAAACTTCAGTAAAACACATCTTCTCCATGTCTGAGACATTAAAGTGTTTCTAAGATCATCATCACAGTAAAGAAGAGAAACAGGCAACAAGGTCACAAACAGCATATATGTAGTTTCTTCTTGTAAAATGTATTGGAGGATCTTATTCTGTTAAGTCCTGATCCCCAGGTACTTGTAAAGGACTTGTAGTTTTCCATGCAAAGGTAGAATAATCCAGTTGCTTTGCTATTCTTTATTGCCATCCAGCTGCCCTATACGCAAGCCTCACCACAGATTGTCCATGGCCCTGACATTTTCCAGGGTTATAGCTCTCCCTGACTGTTCTCTTGCAGTTGCCTGGACTGCTTTTCCTCCTCAAACACCTTCCCTAGCACAAACAGCAGATGCTGCACCATGTGATCCGATGCAAAAGGGCAGACAGAGATGAGAAGGAAAGTGCCAAAAGCAACAACGATGCAAAAGGATTACTTCCTAAAATTATCAAAAATTTCTCAGCAGAAGACTGATCATTGCACTCAGTAAATGAATTATTTACACTGGATTGCTTCCATCTGCCTCTGTGCTGTGTTTTGTCATCCAGACTGCAGGCAGCTCCTTTCTACCCAAGACTCAGGCAGTTACCTCATTTCAGCATTTATTGCCTACCTGGCTCATCAACAGTTATGTCCAGAAACTATTTTCTGAAGCGTGTCTTTCCATCTGGAAATAATAATTTGCTGTGCCCTTAGGGAAGCACACACATCCGCTGGAGTTATCCCCAGCCTGGGGGTAACAGTGACATCAGTATCACATGCTCCAAAGCAAACTCACTAACCCTTCCTGTAATTCTCCTGAAGATGCCAGCCTTTACTGAATGCTTTCACAGAACGATGTTTTAAAGTCATGTTAGCTCAACAAACAGATTTCGTGGACTCTTTGAATTGACCAATTTTCCTTGCACTGCTGTTTTCATAGGAGTAACATCTTCATTTCTTTCTAATCTTTATGAATATCATCCTTTACTACTGCCCTCTCTCTCCTATGTTGTCCGAAGCAAAACCACCTTGCGGTCAATAACTCTTTTGTTGTGGTCCTTCAGGTTTGAAAGAATGCCCTGAATATGGCTATTTTTGTAGAAATTGTTGTTCAAGTTCACCCATGATAACAAAAGCATGTCCTCAGTTGTCCACCACGGACAGCATTTCTAGAAAATGCACATGGTATTCTACCAAGAGGGAAACAAGAAGGAAAGAGGAACTGCTGTGGGACACTTACCACTTAACTGCAGACATTTGGGTCTAAAGCAATCAGTCAGATTACCTTTAAAGCACTCTAGGACACAATTCATCTGTTTCCAAATGTCTGTCAGAGCAGACAGAGAACTACACCAGAGAAGAGCTTAATTCTTACCATAATTTAAATAAGAAGTTTCAGTTTCCAGATAGATTACATACTTACATTAGGTGAAAGGACTTCCACTCCGAATGTTTGATCTTTCTTATAGATATTGCTAGGTTAATTTATCACTCCTGCAAATGATTTTTGGAGATCCTTACTGGAAAGGTGCTGAGGAGCCCACCCTTGCAGACAAGGAGTTCTCAAGGAAGAGGAAGGGCCCATGCAGCAAAGGAGGGTGAAGATTCTTCATCTAGGTATTAGCAGTGCAAGAAGCTATGGAGTGAAGGGAAAACATTAAGGAAACAGGAAATATTTATCATGAATATGCAAAAGAGAAAAAAAGGTACAGATTGCATCCTAAATAACTTATAATAATGAGAGAATTAGGAGAATCTGGTGGTTTTTTTCACTCTTGGATGGCATGAGGGGAATCTTAAACTAAGAGTTAATATTTTCAGGAATCAAAATAAATTATGTCTCTGACATTCCCATACAATGCCTGTTTTTTGTGACATCACACTAAAAATGGCAAGTAGGGTTCCCATTTTCCCATCTGTTATTCATATGAACATACACCTGGCAATGCAGTGTGCATGTTGCTTCAGAGGAAACTCAACCAAACAACTATTGCTTTATGCAACACTAATATTCTTGGTCATAAAGCCACTACATGTGTTTTATTTACTGTAAATGAAGTGCATATCAGCAACACTGAATATGAAAACAAAATTTTAATGGGTTACTTTTATGATGCTAGAGCAATGTGAAGAGAGATCTGAGAGATCTGTAATGTGACTTGCTACTTAATATTCAGTAACATAGTTTGAGTTGGAATAAATAGGATTCCCAGTAAAGACTTAAAATGTCTATTTTCTCCAGTTTCTTATTTTACATGTACTTTGAGATCTGGAACAACTTTTTCCATGTATTTATGCCAATTCTTTTGGGACTCCTCCAGTGTTATGTTTTAATGCATTCTCTCTCACTCTGTTTTTTTTTTTTTTTTTTTTTTTTTTTTTTTTTTTTTTTTTTTTTTTTTTTTTTTTTTTTCTT